GAAGCAAGAACTGGAGATGGGGGCTTAGATCTAAGGTGATGTGTTTCCACACAACACTGAAGGCTCAGTGCCCACCTGTCAAATTACATTTGAGATAAAATCTACTATCACTGTATTGACTCCATTAGGGCAGTCTTTAACACAGCTCAGATTTTTACTTTGATTCACCAGAGGCAGGTGCTCGATTAATTTCTATAGGTCTACTCATGTTTGATGTTAACTGTTTAAGTAGATTGCTAAATCAGTTAGGGATAGTCAATGGATCTCAGGTTAAAGCTGTACTGCAACAGACTCCAGGTCTGCTGGAACATACCCAACACAGAAATGGCCTCTGTAGGGTGCATTGCAACAAAAGAAGTACGTGGATTTTTGGAAGCACAGTATTAGGAAGGGTGGCCTTTAAAAAAACCCAAAGGCAATGCCTCCCCCAAAAGAGTAAAGCAAAAGATAAGTCTTTAACTGTGTTCTCAACAATCATATTTGCTCAGAGGACAGTTTACATCACATTATTTACTAACAGGTAGTATTAATTAGAAAATCACTGGGCAACACTGCAACACTGGGCAGAAAATACGAAAGCACTCATTTCTCTTTACAGGAGGGTTTTTCTATATTTTTGGGTGGTTTTTGTTGCTGTAAGTAATTTATATATTTATTTTTATAAAGTAAACCCAGTTAGTGAAAATTATTTATGTTCCCTTGCTACTATACCAACAAAATTAAATCCAAGTTCCTGCATGATGTGACATGTAAACCATTTGTGCTGAAGTGACTGCCAGAAATGGATGGAAAGTTTTTATCCTGATGAAGCACTCAAATAAAATGCTAGTGTAATCTAAAATTATTTACTGACAGTAACTACAGAATTTTTTTACTTCTCTTATTAATCATCAATTTAGCCAAGCCTAGTATTCAACAACTTAAGAGTATCAGCAGAGAAAGTGATGTGTTTTCCCTTCTGATGTTCAGTACATCTGAAAACAAGTGTTGGGTTTGTTTTTTTTTTTGAAAGGAGGACATAAAACAATTTTGTTTGCATTTTAAGGAAAAAAATCTCATCATTAGTCCTGCCATCTAAGGTAAAGCACACATGTTTTCAAAGAAAGTATTATGAGCATGTTACAAACACTAACATGTTACCAGTTTCATTCAAATCCTGATGCAGGTCAGGTTTTAAAAGCTGGACAGCCTCAGCTCCAACTAAATGCTGTGATCACAACTGAGTGCCCTTAGAATTCTCCTGTGCCATGATTCAGCTTAATTTCATTTTTTTAAGGCAGTTAGAACTCAACAAAACCAGAAAAACAGCTTATTTCCCTTCCATAATATAACTTCAGATTTTCCAGACAGCCTCGTGTTCCTTTGCTCAGAGAAAGTTAGAACTGAGTGCCCATTTTTCTGCACCAGGAAAAAAAAGTAACAGCTCATTAGCTTTTTCTATCAAACTCTACAATTACACAGTCACATCAATCCACCTCCTCTGTCCTACGGAGCTTCTCTGTTATCACAAAGCCTATTCAAAATTTCCCTAAGGGCCAAGACCAGCACTTGAAAAAGAGTCTAATTTTGTACAAAACCAGAAGTGTGCCCTATTACCCACCATCTGAGCCATTCCTGCCTGACCTCGTTCTTTCTAGGGCTGTTATTTCAGACCTGTATCACTTCTCAGTCTGACCACAGCTGGGAGCAGTGATCTCCACCTCCACTCTGCTCCCCTCCACCCCCCAAGCCTGTGCAACATTAGTTTGAATCTTTTATTCATTCACTGACAGAAGTATCAAGAGGTTTCTTTAAATGACAGCAATATGCCCGGATGACTGATCTGCCAGAAGGAAATAACTGGCTATCAGTGAGAGAGATTGCTTTGAAGTCACTATTTGCAGCACCCGGGGTACTCGGGTCGGATCAGTTTTTACTTGATTACTTTCATGGCAAGCTCTTTTTGTCCCAGCTGAAGAATTTCTTTGTAGGCAATGACAGAGGATGCATTTTGGGAATGATCTGATACTTCAAAAGATGATTCTTGTAGTTTATCTTGCAGTAACCTTCTCTTCTGAAGGAAATGCTGCAGAGCCCTTGTGCTGATCACAATGATAGCACATGCTATGTGCCTTTTATCACTGGGCTGTCTGCACTATCACTTTTCAGCATAACTCCAAAGCAAACCCTTGCAAGTTAGGACTTTTATTAATTGATACATGTGTAGATATATGCTGTCTTTTGTAGCACAACATTTTTTTTTTCAAACACTTCAAAACAAAGCTGGTCCTGTTCAAGTCAATGAAGTTTACTCACTGCCTGGTAAACAATTGCAATTTAGACTATTCGGGAATGACAAAGTCAATAATATCTTTACATTTAAAACCCAGAAGCTTTTGTTTTGTTTTGTTATAGTTTTGTTTCCTGTACTGAGTTTCAACAGAGGAAAACAAAGAGAAGAATTTGCACACCTAAGGAGCTAGCAAAAGGTAAAAGTTACATTCAGAAAAGAAAAACTGATAGCCTGTGCCAGCTGAGCCACACTTAGTAAAATTTTCAAACTGGCACTCATTCCATAGGAGCGATGAAGACCCACATTTAAACCATACCACATTATCACACTGTAAGCAACACTCCTCTCTAAGTTTCTACACAACCAGACAAACACTAAGTGCTTTAAAACCAATACATTTTTAACTTAAAAAAGCCCTACTCATTTTTTTTTAAAATAAGAAAATAATGATATATTAAGTTCTAGATGTAAACGTCATTATTCAGACGTATGCCCATAGACTTTGTCATTGGTCACTGAATAATTCAATTATTTTAATACTCTTTTTGCATAGGTGCAAGATCAATTGAATACCTGCACAAACACAGTACAAACCTGCACATGGAAAATCCCTTAGTCTGAACAGCTCCTGTCCACAGCAGTGCTAAGGGTACCAGCTAAAGGGTTTTGAAACGCGCTTGCTAGCTCCCAAGTATGAGATGCTGGAGCATATGCATCCTCTTTGCATAGCAATTCTGGCAATGCTCTTTTACAAGCAGCTCTTTTTTACAATGCTCTTTTTTACAAGCAAAAACATACAAGTATGTTTTTGCCTCAGTAGATACACTCTTTTTTTCTGGGTCTTCTGACCTTGCTTCCTATGCAGGCAACATGATAATGGGAAAACCCCTGCTTAGTTCTGTAAATATTCTTTCCTTGGTTAAAAAAATGCCCTGCTGGAAGCCTTAAAACACTCTGCAATTTTAGCTTAAAGAATTTTATTTATGGATCAATAGAAACATGCATTGAAGCCGTTACTGACTGATAACTGGGAAATTACAAATTATAGCAATTCAGGAACAACCCTTCTTTCCTTTTCTTCAAAGCTGTTTTGAGTTACATGATCAACCCTCACTAAACTCAGCAAAGATTCTTCCAGTTTTGCATTAGGTTACATCTTACAGGCAATGAAAAAAACCAGCTTCAAAACACAACTTTACATATGCTTTATGCAACAAGGATACTTTCTTATGTTTAAGAAGATTATTATATCATTTTCTGTTGCTTCCTTCCTTCATTCACACTGAAGCTGGAACACAGGATGTCATAGTTAAATCACATAATGATGAGAAGACTCTTACAGTAACTAATTATAGCAATGGATTGCTTTTTATCAAGCTGAGCCACACTAACTTCTACAGTAAAATACAAAATTGACTCCTTTCAGTTTCTTTTCTCAGCAGTTCTCCCTTTCCTGTCTTTAGCGTAAGTGATACTGTCATGGCAGTTCTGATACTCAGATTAGAAAATGGAAACAATAGAATTAATGAGCAGGCAACAAAAACAAATTAAACCCTACGCACATGCAGCATGGATACTCTTCAATACAGTTCAGAGATGCTGTGCCAAACAGCAACTGATTCTGGAGGCAGGGCCAGCAAGTGGTCAAATAGGGTCAAAAAGCAAGGAGCTGGCAAAGATTGTCTACCACCATTAATGCAGGAAAGAGCCAGACCTTCTGGGAGAGAGCTCATGCCTGAGCCAAGGACAACCAGGAGAGCTGCTGTGAGAGGGGCAACAGTGGCAGGGGGTGTAGAGATGCTGGAAGTGCTCTTTAACAGTTGGCTTGGGTGATTTTGGCTGCCAGATCCACTTGAGCTGCCTCCAACACAGTGCTGTTTGGAATTGTTCAGTAACATATGGTAGCAAGCACTGGACCCATATTTACAGAGCTGGAAAACCAGAGGGATGACACAGTGGCATTTTCAGAAACAACTATGTATTTTTTAAGGCAAGAAACCTGGGGATCAACAGGAGTTTTATCCTAAAATAGGCATTTCATAAACTTACACCCTAACTGTTTGGCTTAAGGTGCAAAAGAAGTCACTATCACAACAGAAGCTAGACTGATGGAGTTTCAGAAAACAAGCACATACCTATCCTTCAGTAATCAGTTATAATTTAATTTAGAACCAGGAATCAGTAATTGGTAACTTGCACAAAGCAATCACAACAACTTCAATCCTGGCCAGAAAGCAAATGTTTTCAGAGACACATGTAACTTCAACTGCAGAGATGGTTTTAGCAGCAGCATCATAATATGGATAAAAAGCCAGGAACATAGAGAGTAAAGCATGCTGGTGCATTAAAAAAAAAAAAAAAAAAAAAAACCCCCAGAAACTTACCACTGAAGTAAGAGCCATCTGAAAACTGTAGATTCGTGCAAGGCCAAAGTCAGCTAACTTTATCTGCCCGCTGCTGGTTACAAGGATATTTTGGGGTTTCAGGTCCCGATGCACCACACGATGTGAATGCAAAAAATCCAATCCCCGAAACAGCTGAAGCATCATATCCTAAATATAAAGTAGAAATCAATATGCAATTATCAAGGTAAGGTGGCAAAATGTAAATTCCCTGTCATGATCTGCAAAACTCATTTAATAAATATTGACTTAAATATGTGTACAGAAGATAAAAACAACTATTCATATAAAATGGACAGGATGTAGAAAAACCTCCAGAAACTTACCACTGAAGTAAGAGCCATCTGAAAACTGTAGATTCGTGCAAGGCCAAAGTCAGCTAACTTTATCTGCCCGCTGCTGGTTACAAGGATATTTTGGGGTTTCAGGTCCCGATGCACCACACGATGTGAATGCAAAAAATCCAATCCCCGAAACAGCTGAAGCATCATATCCTAAATATAAAGTAGAAATCAATATGCAATTATCAAGGTAAGGTGGCAAAATGTAAATTCCCTGTCATGATCTGCAAAACTCATTTAATAAATATTGACTTAAATATGTGTACAGAAGATAAAAACAACTATTCATATAAAATGGACAGGATGTTCCTAGAACTAGCTGACTTCAACAAGTGTCCTTATCAAGTTAATGTATTGCTTCTAGTTGAATTATTTGAGGTTGATTGATAGAAGTATGAAGATTGGTCAACACACTTAAAAGAAATAGCAAAAGCATGTCTGTAAATCCAGGGACGACTTCAAAATAATGTTGTCCAAGTAAGAAAAATACCTAGCAACTTTCTTCTCTTAATTTTAAATCACACAGCACTTTGCATCTCACAAGTTTATGCTTTATCCTCCCAAAGTGAAGTGAAATTTTATCATTAACTTCAACACATGGATGTGTCTGTTTCAATCAGAAAAGCTATTTAAATGACATATTAACCAGGATTTAATGTTACAGAGGGAAAAAGTTAGGAAAATTTCTTGTATAGAATTTACTAGATTAGGACAGAAGTTACCTTTAGAACAAAGTTTAGCACTAAATCAGTGTAATAACAATAAGTAACAGTTCTCATTTTGCTGTTTTCTTACAGAGATCCAATCTTCTATGACATTTCCACAGCTGAAGAAACTATTTCTTTTTACTCATGTTTTCACATTAATCTTAGTAACGTGAAAGGAATGAACCAACAGACTCAAAACTAAATACTAGAAATCCCCTGGATTCCAAATTAGAAGGACACTTGTGAACTTGAAAACTGTATTTGTAAAATGGGCAGGTACAAGAAGATGCTGCAACAAGTAAGGAAAAAAAGGGATAAAGAAAAAAAGTGTGTATGCTGTAAGTTGATAAAACTCCAGCTCCGTGTTTGCTGATGACATATGCTTTTTCCACAAACCATGCAGCAGGGTGTTTGCCAATCCTGTTATTAGAAAACAAAAGTATTATAAAATGTACAGCTACTAAGGCTGGGAGCTGTAATCTGACCTCTGATAAAACATGGCCAGAGACTATAGTTATGTCTGACAAATAGTAGTAACAGTGGCATGCTCCTAAAGGCCTCAGTTTTTATTTGAAGACCCTGATGGTGGAGATACTACCATGGAACTATGGATGCTGTGACAGCATTTAATTATTATCACCTCTGACGGATTGTGGTAAACTGAGAACCCCATTTTGTGCTAGCTGATGCCTTTTATGCCTTTTTCTTCCTTGGGAAAAACTGAGATCTGATAATTTTGGTAACTAGTTTTAATAGGGTTTGATCCTTTAGAACATATATACAAAGTGTACTGGATCCTCTTGCATTTATATAATTTCACTTTGCTGTTCAGAAATACATGGAAGAGCTAGGGCTACAGCTCTGCAGGTTTCAGGCACTAGCAGAATTAACACATCACACCTGCTCATTCTGTGCTATTGTAACTTAAGTCAAATTGCACCAGCCTTTAGATCAGTCTTGCAGATGTCAAGAACATGCCAAGAACATTAAAGTGTGCAGTTATCCTAAGTATGTACTTCATGGTTTCACTGAATTTGGTCTATTTTTTGTATTCCAAGTAGACATAATATCAAAATAAGAAAATAATTTAAAGAACTTCAGGATTAGTCAGTAGACCCTGGCGAGTCCCTTTTTAGTGACAGTTCTGCATCCTACTCATTTGTCAAGTATGTAAACTCATTCCTGCAGTTACCAAATGTATCAATAATATTTTTTTCCCTATGACTGATGTTGGTTTTGTTTCCACTTTCTTCCTCAAGCTCAGCAATTGCAATTCTGCTCTGCTAGTTGCAAATTGCAACCAATACCTTCAGATTCTAAATTCAGAGTATTCTTTCAGGGACAGGTAAAAAAACCAACAACTTTAAAATGGAGACTGGTATATCTTTCCCTCCCTCCCCAGGACACAGAAGATGAGTATTACTTGCTGAAGTTGTCTCCACACACAAAAAATGACATGTCCCACAGAGAAGTGTATCAGGGAAGTGTATAGTTAAAAGGTATTAGAAAGAAGGAGGAAAACTGCTGAAAAAAATGCTGTATTTGCTCTTCCAGGAAATTCATAGTCTATTCAGGGTATTCCTAGTATTCATTTTGGACTGTTGATTATGTTCTTTTGCTATCCCCTACTACTTACTATTATGTGTATGAACAGATTTCAGTTCAAAATTATCTTGGAAGAACAGCCCAAAGATTCAGGTGTGTAAAGAAGGTACTTTTATGTAAAAAAACCCCACATTTGCTATTTGTGATTCATTATTGTCCTGTTTTAAATTCTCAGCCAGTTAGAAAAAGAGCAGAAACCAAAATCACATCACAAAGGCCTATTCCTATGCACTTTAAATACAGAATACCTCATCTGTCCAGCTCAGAATTTGATATTTGCTTGCACAAATAGATTTTTAATATAAAAGCAAGCAAAAATGAGAGCTTTCAAATCCGCTTTTTCCCCATAATGATTAATTTTGTGTTGTACATAAGCCTAGCAACAAACATTAGCTGTCATGTTCAGAAAATGACTTTGTAGTCTTAGTCAGCCACTTGCAACAAAACATCAGATTCAATCTGGTCTGTGTGTTTTCTTTGATACCATAACTAATATGGTAGCAAATTGCATGAAGGCTGTAAACATGCACAAGCCAGATCACTAGCTAATTAAATTAGGATAATTCCATCCATCCAACGGAAATGCATCCATTTTTATTAATGATGATTACCCAGTGTTATCTCAAGCACCAGGATCTAGAAATAAGTGCAAGACAGCCTACATGTGCCTCAAGGATTAGTTTGTTCCATGTCTGCGTTTCCCTGAGAAATTTTCTGTGGCAGCTAAACATACCAGATTTTGGAATTACAGTTAAAATCATATTTCAAAAGTTAATTGAAAAATTATCAGTCTTTTGACAAACAGAAAGATAAATTTCTTATCAGACTTGAGGAACAAGCTCTAATGAGTCATGATCAAATCTTTGCTATCTTTATCCCATTGTCTTTGGATATTGTATGTTTACAACCATGGACACAGAAAAGCACCTACTGTTTCAGATTAGAGATTCCTGCGATGCTTCTAATATCACGAAATCTACAATGGTTGTTACTCAAGTTAAATATATATACATTATTCCACTGTGATTACTTTAAGATTATTATGGCTTTACAATGTTTTTTGTTTTCAGGCTACATTTTCAATGTGGTTTATGCACAAATCTAAAATACTTATTGGTAACTCGGTTGAAAACTGAGCTATTTTGGGATGCAATGAACAAATACACTTGCCTTAGAGGCAAATACGTAGCTTTAATTTTGTAAAAGCCTCCTTATGGAAACAGTTAAGAGTAAAATGTGTTACGGAAATGCTGCGTCTTTTCCATGTTCTGCCATATAAGGTATCAGTGATGGCATTGCTCAGTCTGTATTTACAGTACAGAATTTTATCAGTACTGAATGTCAGGACCAAACTACTATGAACTTTTCAAGCAATACCATATTGTGGCATGAGCCTCAAAAATACGCAGAAATATGTCCTGCATATTCTGCCTCTGGTGTCAGCGAGGACGGGGACAGCCTCAGGTGAGGCTGAGCAGCTTGTTGCTGCCTCTGCCCAAGGCCAGCTTCACAGCTCACACTTCCTAACCCAGCAAGAGCAGAAAGCCCTGATCTGCTACAGACTTTTGCCTCCTCCTTGTCCTATCCCCTCCTGACCGTATGCTTCACTGACCCCTCTTAACCCTCCTCCAGCTTCTGACCCATAAATCTCTTCCAAACCACTGGTTTTCAAAATACCATTCTGATCCTTGACGAGACACCCACCATCTTGACTTCCAGCTACCAGACCTGTCAGCTGCCTGCAGGAACTTGTTTAAGGCCAGACAGATCCTCTGAGGACTCTGCCTGCCTAATCCAAAAGAGGACGGGCATGGCTGCCAACCAAAAAATTCACATGCCTGCTCAAAGAAAACAGAAAGGATGGAGTTGCTTGGGGTGCTGATGCCCAGGTGCTGGCAGCCAGGGCTGCAGGGGCCTCTGTCCGGGGAGACCTAGGGCTGCCCCGTGCCAGACACAGCTGGTTCCAGCTGCTCAGTCAGACCCACCACAGGGCACAGCTGGGCCTGAGAGCCAAGATGGTGGTGCCCCTGTGAAAACGGATTTCAGAAAGGGCAGAAAAGGCTGGAGGGCAAGAGGAGGAGGGAACAAAAGGATTGAGAAACAGCACAGGTAACACCAAGGTGAGAGGAAGAAGAGGAGAGCAAGTGGATACTCCATGGTGGACCAGATATCCACACTGCAGCCACTGAGGACCTGCACTGGAGCACGTGGATATTCCTGAGGGAACTGCAGACTGTGGAGAGGACCTATGCTGGAGCAGGTAGAAACTGTGAGGAGGAAGGAGCAGCGGAGAGGAGCTGCTCTGGGCTGACCAGAACCCCTCACAGCCCGTGCCTCTGCACTGCTCAGCATGGGGAGAGTCAGGTGTGATGTGGAGCCCACAAAAAGGAAGGGGAGGGTGTTCTTTGAATGTTTGCCTTTTTTTTTTCCACTACCCAAATTAGCAATTAAATTTGTATTGTAATTGGCATTAAATTAATTTTCCCCAAGGCAAGTCTGTTTTTGCCTATAATGGAAAGCAATCTCCCTGCTTATCTCAGCCCATGAGCTTTATTTTCTGCATCCATCCCGCTGAGGCAGGGGAAGTGAAAAGGCAGAGGGGAGGGTGGACAGGAGCCTGGCTGTTGAGCCAGGCTAATCCACTGCTGTGGTAAAGGTATAGATGTTAGAATTTGTCTTTGTCAAGGGGGATATAGTGCGATGCAACCTGAAGGAGAACACCAAGAACAATGTCTTCAGAGAACACATGCACCCAGAGGTAAAATACTCAACACACTCATAAGAATGGCTGCTCATTATGTCAAGTGCACATTTTCCCTCCATTGACTAGTATGTGAAGAA